TGTGTTGGCGCTAAAAAAATTAAAGGGAATGTGAGTTTATTTACAAGTGGTCAACCGATTAAAATGGTCCGGTTGTCCACTTGAGAGGGATCCAGTTGTTCATACCCCTTCCTAAAATTCTATCATATCAATATACTCATTTATAAATAAAATGATTTCAAAAAATGAGATATTCCTTTTCGTAAGAACGAATGGAGTATTTAGTAAATTTCAATAAAAAGATGTGACAGAAATATGTTATTTTGGAAAATGAATAGTAAAAATAATAAAACAAAGTAAATTAAGTTTGACACATGATCAATAATGCATGAAAAGTTCATTTTCAAATGAAGAAGGGAGTAATTTTTTTTATTATACTCCCTCCGTCCCATGAAACATGAGACTTTTGCTTTTTAGGAAGGATTTAAGGGGAGTGTATTTTGGTATTGAATTTTCAAAAATGTCCTTTGATGTAATGGGTAAAAGTATGATTTGATGGATAGATTATTAGTAAAAAGGTAGGATGTGATAGTTAGGGTATGAAAAAGTAAGGGGTAAAGTAACTTTTTAATAGAAATGAGAAGTGTTTTGTGGGACGGATAAAAAAAGAAAGGAGAAAGATTTCATGGGACGGAGGGAGTACATATTTAAGAAATACATCAAATGTTTTACAAAATAAAAAGTGATTGAAAATATTACTTTGTATTTCATTGGCTAAAATTCACCATTAGTCCTCCAACTTTATGAGTTATGCATGATTGATTTTTCAAATTTCAAAAGTTTGTAATTAATCCTTCTAATTTCAAAAGTTTCTAATTAATCTTTTAAATTTTAAAAGTATTCAAGAACCTCCAAATCCAGTCGAGGACAAGATTGGGGCATTCGATCCGGAAAACACGGATTGCACCAAAAAAACATACAGTGAACTTAACAGAGAGTATGTATAATGTACTTACCATAGGCCCAAACTCCAAAGCGTACGTGAACGTGATGGTTACCACATTTTGCCTGCCTACTCTACGCCCTATGTACACTACACTCCACACCTATACTTATAATTAATGGCGTTTAGCTTTTGTTTCCAACCTAATTTCCTCCGGCCAAACAACAAATTCAGTGCACACCCGATCATGGGCTCGGGTATCCCACTCGGCCTAATAGGTCCGTCCAGAAAAATGCGGGCTTGGACTTGAGTTTTAGCATTCTGTCTGGCCCGGCTCGTAAATTTCGGTTACTCGCAAGAGTTGCGGGCCGGGGATGGGTTATGTGGTTAAAGCCCGCGGGCAGCCCAACTCGATCCCTATAAATAATTAATATGAATTTATATAAATAATACAAAGTTGTCTAAGTAGTATAAAATACATATACCCTTTTATACGGACTATGATTACATAAAAAATATACAAAGTACTATTCATTAGTCACCTTTTACTTATGTGTTTACTAAAACTTTAGTGCAAAGTATGTACATGAGTTTATACTCCGTGATATATATATATATATATATATATATATATATATATATATATATATATATATATATATATATATATATATATATATATATATATATATATATATATATATATATACACACACACACAC